AAATAATTATGTGGTTGTTAATTTTTTAAATTACAAATTTGAGCAGATGTTATTACTGCCTTTAACATTCTGAACTCCTTGGAAAATTCTGTGACTGTCCAGATCACACAAACTTTTTCTGTAAAAGGCCAAATAGTAAATATTTTAAGCTTCGCTGGCCGGCAGGTCCTCAACTGCTGTCTAGGTGTGAAAGCAGTCATAGGCAATACCTGAACAGGTGAGCATGACTCTGTGCCAGCTTTATTTAAGGGCAGTGAAATTTGAATTTCATATAATTTCCAAGTGTCATGATTTTTTTTCTTTTGATACTTTGTGAACCATTTAAAATGTAAATACCATTTTTGGCTGGAGGGACATTACAAAAACAGGTGGTAAACCGGTTTGTTTCCCCGGCTGAAGTTAGCCACTGCCTACTCTAGATGGTTAAATCTACTGGTTGGGAAAATGTGCTGTGGTAGTAAATTCTTAAACTTGTCCAATACCAATTCTATCATGCCATCCCAAAGTGATTTGAGCTTACATCTGATGACAAAAGATGTTCAATTTCTTACCAACAGCTTCTGTGTGACCCCATTAATGTTGCTTCTTTGTCCCACTTAACAAGTAGCTTACAGAAGTAAATAAAAGGAAATTTCAGCACTGCCTGCTGTGAAACTAATTGTCTTTTGTTAAGATGATGTAGTGTGGTATAATGGAAAGGAAAACTGGGAAACTTGGAAACCAGGCTGTAGCTGGATCTACCACTACTCAAAGTAGTCATGTTTCTCAAACCTCTAAGGCTCCATTTTCTTTCCTGCTCATCTGGAAGAAGTATGAAAAGGTTGTATTTAGGAGTATATATGAAATCACTGGTAGAATAAAAAATGTAATACAAACATTGCCACTGGGGTGGTAGTAGCACTTTACTGTTTACTCTTATTTATGATTTCTTGCAGGGTTCCCTGTATATGCTGATATATTCCTCTTGAAGATTAAGTATAGATTAAGGATTGCAGATAAACTTTCCTCAGACATTCTGCCTTCATACTCTCTCTTATAAGCTACTCTTCTCTCCTTACTGTATAGATCTAAGATGTACATTTTAAACTATATTCCACATATTCTTTCTTATTCCTTTATGAGGGCAGAGACTGTTTCTCATCCCTGCTGTATCTCCAGTACCCAAAACAATATCTAGAATATATGTGTTTCTCATAAGTAGTTTCTGAGTGAATCAGTGATACAAATAATCCCGGATGTTTTCTTACCATTCATTATCAAGAGAAATATAGAAAGCTCCTTATAAACAAAAATTTTTAATGATATAAAATATGCAGGATTAAAAAGGAAATCTACTTTATGCAACTTTACTAAAGTGTAGTTCTCTACATAGAGAAGAAGAACAGAATTTGGGGAGCTTATTTAAAAATGGCATTTGCCTGAGAAGATACTGGAGTATCTCATGAAATTGACAGGTGGGAAGAAAAGGAACAAGGGGAACTCTGGGGACTTCAGCTTTCTCTAGAGTAAAGCCACTGATGGGGGCTCCCACTTGAGGGTCCAAATTTCAAGCTATTTTACAAGTTCTTTTTTTCAAATTTTTAAGCTTTTTTTTTTTCCAGAAGCAAAAGAAAGTTTTATTCGTTAATCAAAGAGTCAACAGGTGAGAGATTACATGCTAGAGCATAACGCTTCTCCCAAACCTGGGGCAGGGCATTTTTATCGGGCTTGGGTCAGGCGGAAAGGGGCGGGGTTTTCAGGGGCGGGCCCCTCAGGGGCGGGCCCAGCTGAGCTGCACAGGTTCCAGAATGCGGTGCTGGGCGCAGCCTCTCTGCACACGCCCGTCACCGCCATCTTGGGTTGACGTGCGCGCGCAGCCTTCTGCACTCTGCCAGTGAGCTCTGCCAGTGAGCAGTGCCATTTCACAGCAGGACCTCTCATCTGAAGTGCCAGGTTGGAGGCCTGTGTACGCAGCACCCTGTGAGCAAGTGAAAAGGATTCCTCCTGTGTGGAGGGAGGGCCACAAGCGTCATGAGCCCTCTCCCTGGTGTTTGATTCTTGTTCACTGACTGGCTCCAGCCGGGTGATGAGTAAACAGGGCTGGGTTCCTGGTGCGGGTTCATTCCAGTCAGCTTAGACACCTGAGAGTAAAAGCGCCCAGGTCTGTTTGGATCACAGATGCTTATCTGAATTCTTCAGCCAAAGTCAGAGAGTAGAATTGTGCAGTAGAGCTGTCAGCACTGAGGACCACTGTTTGGTATCAAGGTGAGCTGGGAAGCTACCTCAAGAGATACATAGTCTTATTAATCTGATTCCAAAAAAGAGCATATATATTTTATAATTATTAGTGTCTCAAGATGAAACATTACACTCAAAGCCACAAGACTGCTTTGTCCACTGACAATTAGACTACATTTACAATTCTGAATTTTCATATATGCCAGATCACCTGCTGCCATATTTATAAATGGCTTAATATGAGACAGCCAGTGTAATGTAATGGCAGTATAGCATAGAGGCTAAGCATGTAGGGCTTTGAGCCAGACTTGCATGGCTTCATATCCCAGCTCTGCCTCTTTATTAGCTGTGAAAGTTTGGACAAGTTAATCTCTGACCGTCATCTTTGCTGTCTATAAAAAGGAAGTTTATCAGTGAGCTTTTGCTGCAGCACAAACCACCACAAAAATCTCATTGGCATACCACAATAAGCTTTTAATTATTGCTCAGAAGTCTGCAGGTAAGCAGGAGTAGATGTCATCCAGACTGGGCTCAACTGGATGTGGTTCCACGTGTAGGGTGGGTCTACGTCTGTGCCACATGTCACTCATCTTCCTTGGACCTACAGCTATCTGAAGCATTTGTTCCTCAGAGTAAAAGTCAAGACAGCAAGGAATACTATATGTGAAGAGCTTAAAATAATGCCTGACACACAGTAAATGCTCAGTAGATGTTTATTACTAGGCATACTGTTACGCAGAAACAAAAGTTCAGTATTGTGTATCTGTGGCGTAAAGTAGATATTTGGCAAATGTGTCACTTCATTGGAATTAAACGGGCTTTAATAAAAAACTAGTCTCTAACTTTTTAACTGGAGATCAGATGAACAAGACTATACGTCTTTCGGACTGGCTGCTGACTTCTGGGATAGTCACAGTGGTTACTGCCTCAATTATTTAACTGTTAGTAAACTCATAGAACTATTAAAGATTGAGTTCTGCCCTCTGATTTTACAGGTAGTGAATTGAGCCGAGAATTGTGAGATAACTAAATCAAAGAGAAAGAGGTAGATGGATAGAAGATGGATGGTTAGATGATAAATAAGTGGTTAAGTAGAAAATGGGAATGCAGGGAAGCACTTGGATCTCTAGAATTCCATCTGAGAACCCTTCCCACTATGTTACATAGCCCAGGTGTTGTTTCCTGTAGTTTTATCTAAATGCTGTTTATCATATTTTTTCTTTCAGTGAACCATAAAAGAGGAAAAAATTTTAAGAAGCTTTTAAAATAATTTTTAACTAGTCCTTCAATTGAGAAAAATTCTATTATTGTATGATAGGATTTACTTACAATATAACAAACAAACAAACAAAAAACTAATCCTTACAGAAGCCTTCACTTATCCACTTAACTAATATTTATTTAGTACTTATTATCTATTAGGCACTGGGCATACAGCAGGAAAAAAAACTGGTCTTGTGAACATAGATAGGAGAGACAGGCAGTAAACAAAGAAATATGTAGTATATTCCACAATCCCTGATCTGCAATTCCAAAATTTACAAACTGAAAGTTTCTGCAAGTAATATAATGGTAAAACCTGACCTAATCTTAACTTATTTAGTAGTAAAAGTGATATGAGCTATTTTTAAAATACCACATAGAATGAATATATGTTTGGCTATAGAGATATTAACATATTTTATTTCAGAGTGCTGTCCCCGACCTCTCAGATTGCGGGGAAGGGTGCCTATTACATAATTACAGTACATTTACCATATTACCTTTAAAAACTCAAGTAATAGTTAATTCCAAAACACCTCTGCCCCCGACCAGGGATTGTGTTAGGCTGTATAGTACCTAGAAATTTATAAATATAAATGGAAATCAAGCACATATGGATATAGAAAATCAGGAACATTAGGGAGAGGGGTGAGTGCTGGAAGGTAGGAAGTTTGTTTAGGAAGGCGCCCAATCATCTACGGGAAGATAAGGCCTTTGGATTTTATCATACATGTTAATGGGATCTCTTTGAAGGGTTTTGACCAAGAGAGTGTCTAAAATCCAATTTTCTTTTCAAAAATGTTATTTTGTTGCTCTTTGGATAATAAAAATATCACTCTTTGGCTATGTGGGTAATAGATTGTTACAGTAGGAAGGATTGGGAGAAATAAATTATCATAACTGGATGAAATTCATAAATTTAGCAGTGACTGATCATTTTTAATAAAATAAATATCTTAGTTATACTTTAAAAAATAAATATACTTTAATAAAATATCAAAGCACTGAGCAAATGCTGTGCTTTGAATTAATAATCTAAGTATTATTTAACCATAAACAGCCACATTGTTTCTTTCTAGTCTTTTTCTCTAAGCAATAGGGCTGAGAGATTAGCTTGGTCATGATAATGCTATTCCCAAACTCCCTCCTTCCTCCAAAGAGTCTTCTCTTCTACTTGCTGGGAGACAACTAGAGGAAGGAGCCCTGAACTTGGAATAATAAGAACTAGTTTCTTATGCTGGCTCTGTCACCATTTGGTTATAACATTGGTTGAGTTGTTTAACCTGTATGGATTTTAGTTTCCTATGGTATAAAATATGGGGATTGAATCATCTGATTGGTATAGTTCTTTCTTACCTGGAGTCGTAAATTTACCAAGTCCTGTGTGTAAGACTAACATTCTGTGATTCTCAGTGAGACCAAGAATCTCAAAATGTCCTTGAATATAAATCTAAAGAAATATAGAATAACTAGCTATCTGTTCAAAATTGGTAAATTTACCCTTATTTCCTTTTTAACAGGACCAAGGGAATAAATACCGGAAGTCAAGAGCACAGAATATTTTCCTTCATCAATCCACAGAACCCTGACACTTTTCTAATTCCATCAAACATAGAGGAATGACCACCTTGGCAGATGGCCACAGAGGATGTCAACAATTTTTTGGAGGCAAGCAATGAAATATTTGTGCTATGAGTTTTCTATTATTAAGTATGTGGAAACAAGTAGAATTATCATATGTTTTAATGAAAAAATAAAAAGCATTCTTTAACATAGCAATTTATACAGGCATTACTATTTCTCCTCTTTTTCTTTTTTCTGAGCACTGTTGCATGTCAGAAATTACATTAAGCTACTTTTGCTCTTATCTGGAGTACTATATAGTATAGAATCCCTAAATACAAAATAAAAATTGAAATAACAGAAATTAAATACCCATGTTTGAAAACAGGGTTCTTTGCATCTATCTTGGACACGTATGTCATATAACTACAAATACTGAATAGTTTTGGAAGTTAGAATTATTGTCTATCTATTTTAAAATTGTCCATACCATACATGAATTTTGTTTGTTTAATTCCTAAACTTTTTCCTCGCTTATTTTAAACAACTATTCTAAAGTGCTGTAAAATCTTGGAATGTGATGACATCCCTTTACATGTCTAACAGCCTTATATTTTGTGAGAATTCTACATCACAAGATCCCTCTGAACTTTTAGTTACTTTCATAGAAGCTGATAGTACTCCTGGAAAAATAGCTGGCCAAGGATTGTGGACAACAGTGCCATCTTCAAAACTGAAATTAATTACATAACCCTTTAAAGAGAGTTTGCTTGGAAGGAAGTTGACTACATTATAAAGAAAAATAATAATAAGTATAAGGAATCTGCCCTCTCTACTTTCATGAAAAGTGAAGGTTTAAGTGGATGAATATAAAATGAAATACAAGCGAACTCAAAAACTTAAGTAGAATGCACTAAAATTGAATTTTTCAAAGCATTTTACATGAACAGAGAAACTCCAGATATGTTCAGAATTTTTAATTTAGTGTTAATTCAACTCATAAGCCTAAGGTCATTCAGCAAATGAGTCTGCTTTTTAAGTTCTACATAAAGGGACACTTTCTAAGTAAAGGAGGCCATAAATGTTTAAAAAGCCCAGTGTAGAGCTTCTGAGTTTTCTTTCAGTAACTAGAGTCAAAATTCATTCTTGCTTTTCTGTTGGGGAAAATTTCATCTAATTATACTCAAATTATTCTGCAACTTTTTGGACAGCAAATCCTGATCACTAAAGAAAAGAAAAAGCAGCTGTGTTGCCCTTTCCTCATAGTTATAAGAATAGCATTGTTATGCAGTCACTAGGCTTTATAGAACAGTAAGTGGCTTTCCACTGGCTGCCTTCTGGCAGAGACACACCTAAACCTTTCTGAACTGCTGATAATGTATGCCTTCTGTTTTTAAGGATCTCCAAAGAAATACATTTCATTGCTTTCTTCAGTAAACCAACCTAGTGTAACGGATTGTAAGAGCAGGGATTTCCTTCTTAACCCTTTTATTACGTGACTGTTTCTAAAACTTCTTTTCTCAGAATTACACTTTAATCGTAATTTAAATCTTTGCTTGATATAATCCACTTAACTATTTAAGGAAACAGTTAAAATTTATCATTGCTAAATTAATGGAAATAGTTCCCATAAACATTGCTTCTCCGTAAGCAACCTATTGTCAAATTTCTCTCTTTAATATTTCCTTTTTTAACTCACCCACATGTCATCTCTTGTCTGATCTTAAGTTGAATAACTTTGACCATAGCAACGTATCCTTTGTCAGGGTTGGCTGTACTTTATATTTCTTCCGCATTATATTAAGAACCAGCCCTTTGTCCTCTTTGAATTGCATTCTGTTTATGACTATGTCATTAGTAAGCCACAGATATTTATAATTCTAATCAAAAGTGCTGAATATTTCATTTATTTCCCATATTTTAAGCTTGATTAGCAAATTATGATTTTAAAATTTTTAAGTAGTTAGGCGATTAGCTGATATGACTTATAAGCTTGCTATACAAGAACACAAATTCATAGAACAGGTTAAGACTGATTAACCACAGCTGTGCCGCACCCACCAGCTGTGTGACCTTGAGCAAATCTCTTTGACCTCCAATTTGTACATCTTTAAAATTTGGTAGTAATAATATAATTGTAAGGATTAAATGGGATGGATAATATAAGTAAAAAGCTTAACTACTTGGCACTTGCAGAAAACATAATTTAATAAATAGGTGATGCAGTTATTCTACTTTTGGAAAATGCATGAAAACAAGTCTCCTCATAGTAGTCAGCTCAACTCTTGCAAAGGCGATAATGAATTTGTCCTTTATACTCATGCCAAATTTCTTTTACATCATGTTTGTTGTATTGCTACTAAATTTTGTTCACATTGAAGTTTCGCAATGAGCAGTTTAAAGTTTATATGTTTAAACATGTAAAAGTGCAGTTTATCCAAAAACCACTGTTAAAAAACATAGTTGTTAAAAATATGATTGTTAACCTTTTAGTCTCATGAAAACTATTTATATAACAAATTTTGCAAAACAAATTTTATTCAGGTATTCATGGACTCACTGCCTGTTCTAGAATTTTAACTTTATATCAACCACTGTGATTTGGAGAAATATCCCATGTGCAAGGCAGAATAATTTGAAGAATTTTCTTTGGATTAAATATCTTTTGTGTATACATTGATCATATGTTTATTTAGTCTGAGAAATTGATTTGATATTTCACTAGAAAAATAAAAGGAAGCAGGAGGTGTGAGTCTCTGTTTTAGTTTCCTAGGTCTGCTGTAACAAATTACCACAAATTAACAAAAATTTATTCTCTCACAGTTCTTGAGACTAAAAGTCCAAAATCAAGTTGTCTACAGGGCCATCCTCTTTTAAAGGCATTTGGGAGAATCTGCTGTGTGCCTTTTTCTTAGCTTCTGGTGTTGGCAATGTTCTTGGCATGCACTGGTTTATAGTCTTACAACTCCACTCTCTGCCTCGCTCATCACATGCTTTTCTCCTGTGTGTCTATGTCTCTTCTCCTCTTATAAGGATAAGGACACAATCATGTCAGATTAGGGCCCACTGTAATTCAGCATGACTTCATCTCAAATTGATTACCACTGCGAAGAGCCTATTTCCAAATAAGGTCACATTCATGGGTGTTGAGGATTAAGATTTGAACGTATCTTTTTGGGGGAATACAATTCAACCAATAACACTGTTAAATATATGTATATATATATTTTTTAACTGAAAATAAAGTTAGGGAAGAAAAATTGATTTTTAAAAACAGAATTTTTTTCTCCTAGGAAAGAGGTTTTTCCACTTGTGTAACTGCATGTTTTACTTATAATGATTTCACAGCATTGTTTCTTGAACACAATTTCTAGATAATTTCCCCCATCTATTCTACAGGTCTATTTTTTTAAATTATGGAACAATAGTTATTGTTTTATTGGTTTACTTGAGATCAGAGTTGAAGTAATAGTGTTACAGTTTTATGATCAAAGGCTTGTGTCTATATTACATGTATCAACAAATGAAATGTCCTAAAGACTTTAGAGATGGTATAGCATTTGCATTTATAATTGTACTGATAGTTGTACTTTGTAAACAAACTGACTCAGTCTTTCCTTTGCTATACTTGATTCAGGATCAGGATCACTTTTTATTTTCATGAGTAAGAAATTTGATTTAAATTAAGGAAAATTGATGACCTTTCAAAATGAACATAACCACTATATATTTTTAACATTAATTCAACTGCTTATTCTAGTGAAGTCTTTCTGACATACTTGGTATGCAGTGTACAATCATCAGTACCTCTTTATCATATCTTTTTTGTGGCCATATCCCATATATTTAGACAACTGTCACAGGTTTTTCAGGTAATAAAACTTATACAGGGAATACACTCTTATTTCACCACTTCAGTAAAAGGATTTTACATGTATTTTCTTCTCTTGGAACTTCTGAAAGAGAACGGAGGTAAAGCATTATAAAATCCTATTGTTGGGTCCTTATGTTTTTCCATTCTTGCTTGAAGCACATAAAATTTCCAAAACATACTTCTCTTGCAGGTATAACCTGCTTCAATTTATTCTTTGCACATAATAGGCACTCAATAAATGTTTATGAAGTTAGTGAAGAAAATTGTAATTAGCCCCTTTGCTTGTAGACAACATTCAGAAGGAGTGTTATTGGAAGGGAAGTTAATTCTGAAGCAAACTCAGTTATACACCTTTCTTGCTGAATATTTTCCTTGAATGTGGTATAAAAGATAAACAGAGGTAGAAACTAGAGAATTTGCAATGCTGAAAGCTGGAGATATGTTCTGTATTTCCCAGAACTCAAGCCTAAACGACTTAAGGCTTTGGTTTATATTTTTATCTCATTTACCAAAAGAAAGTTGAAACTGGGAAAAAAAAAACAAAATACATGGTTAAATGAACAGCTGAGTATGTATTTAAGGAGTGGGATCGGATTTTCTAAACTGCATCGAATTAGTAGAGTGGTAATTCTCTACCCTGACTATGCTTCAGCATAACCTGGGAGCTTTTTAAAAACATGTTTTGGTCCTATCTCTACTGGTTAATCTTGATTCTACCAATTACTAGCTGCATGACTTTGAACATTATTTAGTTCACAGAATCAGATTCTCTGTAAGTGGACATGATATAAGAATACTAGACTTTTGGATGAGAATATACCTCACAAAAATTGGGAATAAAAATATTTACTTTGAGATGTACTAATACGATTAGGAAGACTTATAAACTAATTAGGAACTGAAAAATGAAGGATTTGAGGAGATAAGTAACTAAATTAAACAGTAAAGACTTTATAGTATGAAGAGCATCAGTAATAGTGAAATAAACACCCTGTATCTCTGGTAAAAATACCTGGTTAAAATGTAAGGAAATTGTACTTTTGCCCTCAAATGTCTATATTCCAAGGCTCAGGGTACATTTGAAACTGGAATGGACTGATTTCTTAGGTGGAGGATTTAACATCAATGGAGAATTCCAAGGGAGATTGAATAACCCTTTGCTAGGAGTATGACGGTAGTAGTTATGGTGACGATTAGAGATGGGATAGGGGTGACTTATGGAATTCTTACA